TGGATAACCGCCCCACATTCGCTTACTGGCACTGATGTGAAATGTGGCAAATATTCTTCCACTCACTTCCTAAGGCAGCAATCTATGTTCAGTAATGGACTTTGAACGGCTATAATGATGATAATGATGATGAAGATGAAACATATAATTATGAAGAAATTGACTAATATAAGAGAGTAGTAGCTAAACGAGTAACCGACATAGCCCATAGCTCAGTAAGCTGAAGCGACTAAGCGATGGGTCAGCCCTACATTTTATACCAAACTAGATGGAGTTACGTCCTGGTAAAAACATGCCGGAAGTCGATGGATGCAAGTAGCTCAAGACTATGCTTTGGTATCATTATTCGGAGGAGGCTTATGTTCAACAGTATACTTGTGAAGGGCTGCAAAAATGATGATGATGACGATGAAGTTATGTATTGAACATAAAAGGTTGTATTCATTTCCTTATTAAGTATTAAGAATAATTAAGAAACACGAAAATCCAGTGAAATGATTAATTGGTATCACTATCATTCTAACTATTAATTTATAAAAGTTTTCACTTACCTTTAATGCATCTTGAACACGAAGTAAATTGCGTATAAAATTGGACGTAGTTATGCAAAAAGGATCCAACTCGATTTTGTGTCAAAAATTTTGACTTGAAGAATAATGTTTGTGGTCTATACTATTATGTGATGTAACAATTTTAGCAAACGTAACACAAATAAGAAGAAAAATTACAAACAGACAGAAACCATACCGATAATTTGAGTTTATGATATTATATAATAACTCAAATTAACTTATCGCGGGTTGACCCTTTTTGCATAACTACATCCAATTATTCTTCTTCATCTATAGAAATTTATATTTGAAATTTGTATAAAGTGAAAGATAGTTAAAGTTACAGCCTATATATTTCTCACAGTTGGGCACAGGTTCCCTCTCATTCCTGAGAGGTGCATGTTGACGAACTTCACATATCTACGAAAAAAAATGTTTCTTATTTCCTAGGCATGCAGGCTTACTCACGATGTTTTCCTTCACCACCAAGGTCATGGTAAATGAGCAATTAAAAATGAAATTAAAAAATTCATTTGTGCCGGCGGGGATCGAACCCAGTATGTTCGCGTAATGTGAAATTTACAGCCCCTGAGCTACCACGGCTTCTATGATATTTTCTTTGTCTTAACGATTAAGCGTAAAATTTATAAATCAAGTATTAAATAGATTATTTTAATGCAATTCAAAATCAATGTACTTGATTTTGAATTTGGAATATGTTTATCAGTCAATATATGAATTTATGTTGTAGTACATGTTCACGCGTACTGCTATTAACTCCGGTCGTGCCGCCACGCACCAGAACAGTTTTCGGCGCCAACTGCACGATACCTTTTTTTTTTTTTTTTGCGGATGAAAAATCATCTAATGACGCCTTTCGCTGTGGGTGGAGCGGAAGGGAGTGTCAGACTTTTACTGACTAAAAACCATCCGTGTTCCTTCAGTGCCCTTACGTTCCGGAGCCGCGGTATCTCTTTCGAACAGCCCGCAGCCCCGGCAGGCGTCGGCCCTTGCGGGCCCCTTCACGCTGCTGACAGCTCTTTGAGGCGCGCGTGGAACAAAACGCGCCGTCGACACGGCCTGTCGTCGTTAGACGGACGGACGGCGAGCTACCCATTGCTCGCCGTCCACAGGCCCGCGCCTACGGTGGTCGGGGGCCACGACGTAGCCCCCGACGCCCGGGGCGTCTCCCGCGGCGGCCGGGAAGGAAAGCTGTTGCTCTTTCCTTCTCCCGCTCCGCCACCTCCTTCGCTAGCATCACTGCTTCGCAGAAGGTGGTGACGGCATCCCATTCCGTCTCGCTCCGGACCATGGCTTCGACCAGAGCCGGACGCGAGAGGTCGCCGCCGCCTATCGCCGCTACGAGGACACGGCGGTGCTCCGCCCAAGCAGAGCACACCTCAACTGCACGATACCTGGTTTATGTAAAATATATAATAAATTCAGTCAGTTAATTGACATCAACATTATTTCGCATATGAACTTTCGTAAATTAATTATCAGCAACCTAGTCAGCCAGTTATACAGAGTGTGATTTTTTTTTTCATATTAGTTATTACGTATATTTTATTTTACTTTCTTATAATATATATTTAGTTGGGTTAGATTATGATAATTGTTAAATTTAGTTGTAATTTTAATTAAAAAACTAATTATTAGTCTGATTAAATCTGAAAACTGTTTAAATTGATAAAGTTTTACAGGCTCTTACCAAAATTACTATTGTATTTTTTATTGTTTGTTTCTGGTTTTGGTTTGTTTCTGTTATTAACTCACTCTCAGATTTATACAGTAATACTAGCAAAAATAACATGTAGTGTTTGTTTTTAAATGATTTTGCATGCTCTGTACAAGTAATATAAAATTACTGTATGTAACGTATGTATTGTAAAATCGCTAATAGACTCAATAAATAAATAAATATATGCCTTATACAGCCTACCTAGAGCATTTATGTATGTTTGTTCCTGTGTGGAGCTGTAGAGACCATACGCGAGGACCGATTATTATGATTCTTAAGTTAAACGAGTTTTTTTTTAATTTTGTGAGTGTCACTAAAGACATGATTTTATTCAAAATTCAATATAACGACAACCAGACGCCATATTGTGAATAAAATGAAAGTCGACGAACTATATCAAGTGGGGTATCATTGAATAGGTATTTGAAAATCATCTCTAGATCTTCCAAATTATTTTTCTTTTATTTTGAATTGCCATTAATGGTCTATAACGATTTAAAGTTGGTGAGAAACCATTCTCATATAAATTTTCAAAACTTATAAAGCTGCGATAATTTCTTATATATAATCGTATTTTACACAGTTGTGTTTTTATAAACAGCATTTAACCATTAAGCTTGTTAAATAATATTTCTTTCATTTAAAATGGATACGGGAGACATAAATATAAATGATATACATCCCTTTCGAAAGTTAAAACACTGTTTAATCTCGCTGACGCAGACACTAACACTTTGATCTAACAATTTTAGTTTAATGTGCAATAAATTATGAAGCAGGTCTCAAACAAAACTTGCGCTTTATAGAGACTAATGCAGAGCAATCAAATTTGTGTTAAAATACAGCTAAATGCATTTTTTTAGAACGTATACAAAAATGAAGATTTGCGAAATTTTCTAGTATATAAATTAGAAAGTATATAAATAACTACTGTATAGTGGTGGTGTAAGAATACCCACTACCCCATAGTTGTGTTTACACTAATCAGGAGATGGACAGTAACGTCTTTCTAATAACAACTAGAAAAAAAATTTATACGTGGTAGAGCCATACTGCAGCTATATTAGTAGTATAGTTGTAGCACGAATGGGTCGGCTCGACCGGGGAAGGACCACGCTCTCACAGAATACTGGCGTAAAATAGCAGCTTAACACTGCTGTGTTTCGTATGGTGAGTGTAGAGAACCGGAGACCCTTTTTACTGGAAAAGAGGCATTCCATCTTAGTCCTCACGGGTGACAACGCATCTGCATTTTGATTCGTAAACGAGGATGAATATAGATGTCTATGGGCCACAGCAACCACTTACTATCAGGTGGACTGTGTGCTCGTTTGTCATCCTATCCTATAAAAAAACTGTAGTTGCCAACCCGCCTGCCAGGCTTGGCAAATGTGCCAAATATGTGACAGCAATACCACCTATAGCATTTTAAAACTTCTCTCTAATATAATCAAAAATAATAATATCGTATCGTAAGTATTATTAGAAAGAATTTTTAAATTAAGCTGTTTAGATTTAAACAACATATGCAATGTGAATGTAACTGCTGCTACTTGTTAAGAAGAACTTTAAAAGCATATTATTATTTTTATTTACTGGTTTTATTATTAGCTCTCTACACTACTAACTCGATAAAAATACTACCGATGCTGCACTATATACGTACCTAGGTGTACCAACTTTTTTATAAAGTTTAATTAAACTTGTTTATAAAATAAGTGAGGGATGCTGTGGCCCATAGACATCTACATTTATCCCCAATAATCTGTTTATGTAACTTAAGATATTATTTAAAATATATAAAATATACATAGTTCATACTGTCCCATTACGAACAAAGATATATTTCATACTTTTAAACTGTAGGATATTAATAAAAACTTTAAAAGTTAAACCCTATATACGTACCACTGCTGGACACAGGCCTCCTCTCATTTCTGAGAGGGTTTTAAACATAAACGATATAATAAACTATATCAATCTTTGTACTTTTTAAATTTGAGGAGTACGAACAATCAAAAACAGTTCACATTTATTTATATAAAAAACTCTTTTATGGTTAATAAAATAATTATTCATGCAAATCGTAAATAAATATGTTATCATTTAATAAGTTCAAATGTAATGTAATCATAATCAAAACCCATATTATGAATAGTACTTTAGCGACAGAGCTTTGCTCGGCATTAAAAACAAAATGATCTCTGGAATGCAACAAAACTTTCTTTGATGGTAAGTGGTTGCTGTGACCCATAGACATCTACATCTATTCTCGATAAAGAATCAAAATGCAGATGCGTTGTCACGCGTGAGAACTAAGATGGAATGCCTCGTTTCCAGTAAAAAGGGTCTCCGGTTCTCTACACTCACCATACGAAACACAGCAGTGTCAAGCTGCTATTTTACGCTAGTATTCTGTGAGACGTGGTCCGTCCCCGATCGAGCCGACCCAGTAGTATGCTGCAGAATGACTCCGCCACGTATAATACCTTGATAATAACTTATATACTTATAACCACGTAACTTAATAACCTTAATATAACTTGATAAACTTAGAAAATAAATCGTTATTTAAATACAAAATTTCATCCAAGTCGTTAAAGCCGTTTTCAAGAAACCAATTACACAAAATAACGATTTGCTGACTTAAAAATATGTATAAGATAAATAATTTACATAAAAAAAAAATAAAGTTAAAAATTACTCACGGACAAAAATGTTGGACATCAAAGTGGCGGGCAGACAAAACACGATAACTAGGATGTCAGCAACAGCGAGGTTCACGATGAAAAAGTTTGTTACGGTCCTCATCCGTGGGGAGCGGTACACCACAGCGATCACGAAGCAGTTTCCCACTAGACCCACCACGAACACCAGTAGGTAGGCGACACAGTATACCGCGGTCATTGCACTATTATGCCGATACAAAAACTCCTCGCTGATAACCCCAAAATCGGAACGATTCATCGTTATATTCATTCGTAGAGGTTGCCTCTCCTGATTATCCATGTGCGTCGACAAAGGCTCTAGATCAGGCAGCACGCTATTGTCGGGAACAAATTTAGTGTTTATTACTTCCATTATAGAATTTGAAAGCATATCAACAACATTATGGTTTCTCGAATGGTCCCGAGAGTGGTTTCTGTGGCGTAAATGGTGTTTAGTTGACACTAAGTCAGGATTCTGGGTCGAATAGTTCAGAAAGTCCGTCACATCATCCGTAAAGAAGTCCGTAGGCACTCTCAGAGGAGCCATTTTATTTTTAAAAATAAAACACTAAGTCATTTGTGAAATTAAATGTCAAAAATCACACGTAAATAACAAGTCTGTACACCAAACGTCCGCAAATAAACATTTCATACTTCACCGAAAACTAATACATAAACATTAGAAAATGTATTAAAAGTTCCGTAGACACGTCGTAGCTTTTTCGTAGCGGGCTCTACGCGCGCGTTATGTGGCGGTTCAACGCCGTCTGACTGTTGGAGCTCTACAGCGTAGGCTCAAATGTCCGACGCATGTGCATATCGGTACCAACTTTCACCTGTTTGCGTTGAGGACATACCTATTGCAATGCAATAGAGTTCATATTGTCTTAAATTATTGCAATATGAGACATTAAGGAAATACGAAGGTCGTTGTTATCGCATCCGGGTGCTGGGAAATTGGGAAAAACATCAATCATTTCAATATACACAATCCGCTAAAGCCAAATGTTAGAGTATTAATTTTTAATTACCTAGCAGCATACTTGACAAGGTTTTGCGATTATCTAAACGATTGTCAAAGTTGATTCTTTCTACGTTATTAGATGTCGATTTTCTAATTCAGTGGAATTGAAAGTTTATTTTTTATAATACTGTAGTTTAAAAAAAACACACTTACAGTCCACCTGATGGTAATTAGCTTCACACTCCATGGACAAATGACTAAATAAAGAAGTCTACAAACGCATTTTCACATCTAAGGACTAAGATGGAATGCCTTACAGTCCGTAATTATATTGGGTCTCTTTTCTAATTCAGTGGAATTGAGAGTTTCTTTTTATAAAACTGTAGTTAAAAAAACAAACTTACAGTCCACCTGGTGGTAATTAGCGTCGCAGTTTATGGACAAATGACTAAATAAAGAAGGCTACAAATGCGTTTTCACATCTAAGGACTAAGATGGAATGCCTTATAGTCCGTAATTATATTGACTCTCTATACCATTCAAACCGGAACAGCGCAATGCAAGCTCCTCTATTTGTTGACAAAAAGTAGTCCTACCATTTAGTAAAATTGCAAACCAATAGATATTATCATTGAGTAAAAAAGAATACAATTATACGCGGATAAACAAATATATTAGCTCAGAGGTTGGGCCGGCCTTAGTTTTTATACGTCCCGTAGCGCATTCTATGAATCTGTTTTCATGTGCGTGCCTTAGCTGTGAGATTTTGATTCACTTTTCTCCTTCTTCTTTATCGTCCCGTTGTAGTGCCCTAGACTCCCCTTCACCCCCGACAATATACATTTATTATATTAGTATTAAGTATAGAATAAGAGACAGTATAATTAAAGTTCTTGTACAAGCAACACGTCTTCTTCATTCAGCACCTTCCGAGTTTCGACATTACACCGTAAAGGTCTACCTACGGCTGGATATGGCCATCTCTCGGTATTGAGAAGACTTTCCGTATTCAAGATCGCAGTGACAGACGTCTCGTTAATTTGACGCAGCTGTGCGTCGCCGTATTTACTAATACCCAAACGTAGTTTGCGTCTACAACAGACGAGATGATCCCACTTGACATTTTTCTGGCATTCCCCGCGTTTAACGTCACACACAGGTATTAAAGTGACGACACGCCACTTACTTAAATCTTTCGAATCTGGCCGAAATTTTTATATTTATGCGAATACTACACATTAAATGAAACTAATTTTACGGATTTTATCGCGTTTAATTTTAACTTTTAACTTTTTATTTAATTCCCTATATTTCGGGTGCTGTAAAAACGAAACGTCGGCAGTTAAAAAGTTAAAATTAAACGCGATAAAATTCGTAAACTATGTTTCACTTAACGTGATTTTGTAGTCAGAGAACTTGACTAATATGGCACTAGACATTTATTCCTCCTGTTTTCGATACCAATTTATAAAGATAAATTGCTAGTTTTCAGGTTGTAATTGTATCCACGTCTGCGACATTCCACGCATTTAAACTAAACGGTTTGCTTTGTTTTCTGTAATGGGGACAGCAAGGGAGCAGAATAATTTGCCAGCGTCTGTTTTCTGATCGTTTACAATATGAGTGTTTTAAGGCAAGAGTAAATAGAATTTTGGTTTTTACGTGGTAGAGCCATACTGCAGTTATATTAGTAGTATAGTTGTAGCACGAATGGGTGCATTGATTGGGGAAGGGCCACGCTCTCAATTAATACCATCGTAAAATAGCAGCCTAACGCTGCTTTATTTCGTATGGTGAGTGTAGAGAACCGGAGACCCTTTTTACTGGAAACGAGGCATTTCATCTCAGTCCTCACGGGTGACAATGCATCTGCATTTTGATTCGTAGTCGAGGATAGGTGTAGATAGTTATGGGTCACAGCAACCACTTACCATCAGGTGGGCTGTGTGCTCGTTTGTCACCCTTATCCTATAAAAAAAAACATTTACCATCAGATGGACTGTATGCTCATTTGTCACTCTTATTCTTAATAAAAAAAATGCGCTAAGGCAGTGCGATTTTACAGTCTAGGGTTTCATCGCCACATACTACCATCATATTACCATCCGCACGCCTTTAAAAACGCATCGCTTATCGATTTAAATTATCAAAAACTCAAAATCACAGTCGTTAATTGTGTGAAATTTTGTGTAACTGTGCAATACAACTCGGGAGTGAATCGCTGGAATCAAAGCTGAGAAGTACGAAACTCCTCGCTGGACGTTGCCATATGCAGGTGCCAATTGAAATTTTAATCCAATCAAATTCAATACAGTTCACTAATTTAAAAATTAGATCAGTTTGCGCATAATTCTTTTTCGTTAGCTTGGGACTACATTCCCAAACATTGCACTGGCTTATGACAAATAAAAAACTTACCTATCTCTAATGAATCAACAACGGGCTCGACTAGGTTAAAAAGAGTGAGTCTTTTTGAAAGTTCGCGCAAACACTTCTGTCACTTTGTTATCTCTTGCGTAGTTGACTTCGAAGGTACAGGGTTCTGTTACCAGATAAAACCAATTTCCGTGCCCAAACGGTTCTCACAGAATACCTACGTAAAATAGCAGCATATTAATGTGGCGAGTGACAGGAATCGGACACCATTGTTTGATGGTAAACAGGCATTCTTTCTAAATTGTCATTGGTGATAAAGCTTCTGCAATATGCTTAATAAGGTTAGATGTACTGTCTACGAACCACCAAATTATTTTACAATGTGATGGACTGTGTGCTCGTTTGTCAACCTTACATATAATGTACGAAATGTTATGGTTCTCCTATATCGTCCCGTGGGTGTTGTAAGAGGCAACAGAGGGAATCCGAAACAGGAGATAGTTAGCACCATCTTCCTGATAAAAAACTCATAATAAAAATAAAAACACACACCGAAAAAAGTTAGTAAATTCGATCCTTTAACAATAAATAACCAAGAACTTAAGCAGTCAAAATCAGAAAAATATCTTGGTCTAGTTATGGATTCTAAATTAACATAGCGAGCTTATTTAGTCAAAAATAACATCATTGACAGAAGCATTGTGCAGATCTACACGTTGTGTACCTTATAAAGTCACACCAATGTAAACAAACATAAAAAACCTGTAATGTAATAAATATAAGATAAAATATTTATATTCACTTAGCGGTTAGCCATCGCAGCCCATTTCATCTGATAATACCTCGTTTAGAGCTAAACACGTGTTGTATTATCAACAGTGGTGTATTTCCTAGTATAGTGATGTGTAGTGTAGTGGCCTTGGGATTTGTAGTGACCGGAATATTGCACTTAATCGAGGGAAGACGGGTGGTACTCTTCAAACTAAGTACAACACATCATTTTTATTTTATTGAATAAAACTATTTTTACCGTCATGCTCTAAATCACCCGAAATTTCGGGAATTAAAATTAGGTATAAATAAGTAAATTAAACGCGATAAAATCCGTAGAAATTGTGCAATAAGTGTAATAAATTGTTTTATTCAATGATTAGTATTCGCGTTAATAAGACAAATCAAATATTTTATTTTATTTATACTTGTGAATCTTAGTTAATTAATTTTAACATCTTGAATACTTATATTCAATTTTACCAAACAGGTGCTATATTTATGGCAACGTATGGTATCCGTAATTCCCGCTAAACAGGCGTTTAGTTTATGCGGGTACGAACATGCGACTTCCTCGGTGAAGTCTAGACGCGCAGTCAGGTCGCATAATCAGTGGAATTCACTGACTCGGCAAATGAATACCAACAACTTCGGGTTAATAACAGCGGTGCCCGAATATATGAATGAATTTAGTTTTTGATGTGAAGATGACGTTAGCCTACTATAGGATATATTTCTTGAACGTTCTTTAGGTTCAAAATTCTATTCTTATTATATTTTATTGTGAACACAGGTTATGTTGTTATATAAAAACGTATGTTAACGTATAAAATATAATAGCATATGTTGTTATACAAAAACGAAAACACAAACAAAATAGATTCACATTTACACTTAAACTTATATATACATTAACATTAAAATATAAAACAAAATAAATTTGAGTATTCGTAGCCGCCTACCGGTCCAATTGAGTTTTTAAACCATCCGGGGAAGGGATCCACTCGAATACACACAAACAAATGTCATTAAAAATCGGTCGAGCAATTTTTGAGTTTTTGCGAAACTAACGGGCAGCAATTTATTTTTATATATAGAGATGTATAATTAAATTTAAGCATTTATGTTAGTTATCATTAATAAACTCTTCTCTCTCTCTCTCTCTCTCTCTCTCTCTCTCTCTCTCTTTGTCTCATTCTTTTCCGTATGATAATTAAATTTTTTTTCACCAAAATGTTATCGCATTTCCGTATATATATATATATATATACAATATCAACATATTATATATAATATGCTGATATTCTACATAAGCAGAAACATTTAAAAAAGGTAACCACTGGGACAAGAAAAGCAATGATTAGACACCATCTTCTTAAAGGCAGTAACAGAAGTCGGTTTCCCAATATGTGGAGTTAATTTCTTCCAAAGCCTAA